AATTAAATAAATATAAATCAATGATATTTTTTCAATTTGATTGAAAACAAAAAGAATTATTTCATCTATGATTTTTGATTAAACAAAAAAGAATATCTTTACAAACTCTTTCATAATATATTCCTATTTTTGATGGTATTAAAGACTCTATTTCAGACTCATTCAATAGAGAATTATCAATCTTGTTTCTCAAACAAGTTTTTCTTATGAACGAAAAGATTGATAATTACTTTATCGAAAAATATTTTTAAATAACAATTCTACAAATATTTGAAATATGCTACAAGATGCACCATGAAATTTTGCATCTCACGACATTTCACAATTTTATAAAAACAAACATTTGAAAGAATTACAAAATAATGTATAAGTCCTCTGTTTATTCTTGATTTCAGAAAATCTAAAGATTATCGCTACTCGGTTTTATTTAACATAAAATTCTACTGACTGTAAAAACGATGAGTCTTGAAGGACATTCAAAACAAAAATCCTCCGCAGGTTTCACCTCTAATCTGTTTCCACCTGAATAACAACATTGATGGCATTCAGAAGACCTTTGAAGCCTAGAGGAGAAAATTTTCTATCGAATGAGCCTTAAATGGAGTCTTTAATATCTTATGAAATGCCCTGAAAACAGAAAGACATTTTCATCTGTTCTTTATGCGCCATCCATTCGACAAACATGAGGTCGAAAAATATCTTTATTCTATATTGTTTGCTATATTATTATAGTTAATGAAAATTTCTGTTTTTCTTAAATCTATACTTTGTTATTGATACCTTTACGAAGTCTCGTATGTTATTAAACAGATTTGTCAATCTCCGATCTATTGTGTATTGGTTTCTATATTCGAATTATAAATGATTACATATTAGACAAATCCTTTTGTTTTCTAGAAGTTTATATGAACTGTTAAAGAGAATAGATTCAATGTAACTTCGCTGTAAATACTTTTGATCAAGATAATCTAATAATGGTTTTGTAATAAGCATAGGTTGAGCTCCTTTTTGTTGTTCACTAGTATTTCCTCCATTAATTTGTTGTAATTGTTTATAAACTTCTTCAATATATTGTCTTATTGTTGGTTCAATACTTTTAACAAAAGTTGCACTTAATTCATCAAGAACATCACTTAATTGTTTTTGTAAATCATTAAGCATTGTTTTAGTTTCATCCTCTAATTGTGCACCACCCATTGATTCATATAATTGTACTAAATTTAATATCAATTGTTGAATATTATTCATTAATATTGAACATATTCTATCTTGTCCATCAGCATGTTCAAAGGTTCGACGTATTGCATTTGCATAATCAAGTAAAACTTGTAATATAGTTACAGAAAAACGTTTCATATATTTTTCTATAACAATTGGATCATGAAGATCAAGAGTTTTTATTATATCACGACATTGATTTAATTGTGTAAATACATCAATAACTGATGAAGAAAATAAACAATGTTCAGATATTTGTTGAAACTAAATAATACGTATAAAAATATTTCTTTGATATAGATTATTATCTATTAATTTACTCCTGTTTGTTGATCTTTTTCAAGTGCATTATGAAGATATTCCATAGATATATCATCATTTTCATTAAACCATTGCATTACAAAAGGCTCAAACCACCTTAAGAAAAAGAAAATTATTTGATCAATTCATAAAAAATAAAGAACAATTGGAAAAAACAAAAGAAAGATTATGCAGGCAAAAATGAAACGAATAGTCTCATGTATGAATCTCCTTTAAAAGAGATTATCATAAAA